ATTGAACAATTTTTTAAATGTAAACCTGAATTCTTTTGCTATTAAATGCAAAATAAAATTTTTTTACTATTCTTGAATGTTATATTAATTACCTTCTTTTTCTGTTGATAAATATCCTATAGATAGTAGGTTGACCGGAAAACATCTTGGTATCTATAGATGCTAAAATTAGCATAGAATATAACAAATAAATGTGATTTCCATGTTTGTAAAAGAAATAATGGATTAATTCTTTTTGAGAAAACACACATCAACATCAGCTACAACGACACGGCAAATTCTAGATATTATATATAAATTACAATAAAATAATTTTTTTTCATTATCACAGGTTATTAGCTTGAATGTTTATAGAATAAATTTTATATTCTTATTTTTAAATTTCATCATCATCTTGCATATCGAAATCATCGTTATCATTATAATTTTCGTTTTGATCTCTGCCATAGGCAAGTGTTGACGATGTTGTAGACATCATATTCATAGCCACTGATGATCGTAAATGATGAGCATTTTTACATAGTGATGATGCACGATGACACGAAGAATAAGGCCAAGTCTAAAAAGCAACAAAAATTTAGTATTAATGAATAAAGATAAGACCAAAATGTTGTTTCATATTGAATATTAAAAAAACGTAAGCAAGTTTTGTATTTTTTTAATATACTATTGAATACGTTACGTACAAAACCGTTTGTCGATTGTGATGTTGTCATTGATCTTGTTGGAGCTGCTATTGGTGTTGTTTCATCATCTAATATTTGAGTGAGATGAAGAATATAACTTGTGGCTAATCTCAATGTATCAAGTTTTGATAGTTTAGTATCTTGCGGAACCTTTAAATAATCAATAAACCTTTATGTACCATTATTTTTATGCAGGAAAATGAAGACTATCAATAGCTTACCCATGGTAAATGTGTTTTTAATTTAATAAATGCTTTTGATAACACTCTCATTCTCGCTCGTTCTCTTGCATTCGCTGCATTACGCTGCATACCGGATTTATATGTTGTAGAATTTAGCGTTATTGTATCACTGCTTAGGTAACGTTTTCTGCCCATAAACCTACAGTTAAAATCAACTGATTTGAGCAAAAACTAGAAATTTTAAGAAGCAGAACTTCTAATCTATTCTTAAGTTATGAAAAAAAATTAGACTGTGAAATTAAACAGTATCATAGATCATGTCTACAAAAAAAACTATTTAATCAAACTAACTTTCGTAGAATTTAGATGAAAATATAGATTTTAATTTAACGATTCGATATTTTATACATAGATCTATCTTTGATACAATACTTTCTCTGCCAGTATAGGAATGTACTAATTCATCAATCCACTATATATGCCATAGAGTTTGTATGTATTGTAAATTGTCTTCAAGCATATTATGTTCGTTTTTTTTTCTTCTTCTCTTTATTAATCACAGCATCCACATCTAAATGTGTTTTGTTTATGTGAAGAGAGAGAGAGAGAGTTTATCATTAGTGTCATCATTCTCAAAATAGTATTACCTCTCTTATTTTAGATACAAAATAACCGAATCTCTATATCAAAGGACCCTATTTCTCGTTTTTCCTTTAGGTAATTTTTTTGTTGCTCGATCAACAATCATCGTTAGTTTCTATTTTTATATGAGAAAAAAGCGAAAACGTTGTTGTTGTTGTTGTTCTAATTGATGAGTAACCGTAGGAAGTATGTGTTAATCAACAAAGTTAAATAAACAAAATTTACTTTATATTTCCATATTGCTTTAGGAGAATAATAAATTTCATTTTTTTTTCTAGAAAAATCGTTATCTACACAAAAACTAATATTTTACTATTGGAAAATAAATCAATAGAAGAAAATAAAGGTCAAAAATAAAATATATATTTTGAGAAGATAATGCGCACTAATCGAAAACTAGTGTCTAATCATTACTAAAAATAAATACCTTGTCTCTTATTCTTGATTCTAATTCTATTTGTAACGTGTAGAATGCATTCGTTAAAGCAGATCTATGATACAGCAAAATATGTTTTGTAATGTTCTATACGATCATTCTTCAGAATTATAAAAATTGAAAAAATTGTGTTTGAAAATTGCAACTAAAATTAATGTTGAATAACCGCAAAAAAACTAAATTTTTTCTTTTAAAAGTAACTTCTTTTCTTCCTTTTTTTTGTACTTCTATTTGCTAAACAAAAGGTTAATATCTGTGACTTACCACTTTTGGATCGTTTTACTCAAATCCCATTGTCATATCGTTGAGTAACTCTTTTTGTTTTGTAGATGATATTTGTAGTGATATTCTATTTATTAATTCTTTTTGTAATAATGCCATTCGTTTATTCAAGAACGAAGAGAAAAAAGAGATGATGATTCGATTTTTTTCATTGGCCAGTATAATTAGATGGCACCAAGAAGAGAAGGAAAAAAAAGAAAAGATATGTGAAAAAAAGAATAGAAGAAAATAATACTAATACTAATAATAGCAGAATGATTTATCTTCTTTTCTCTTTATACATATTCTTCTTTTGCAAAGTCGAGAAATTGACTTATTCATAGTTTTTCTTTATAATTCTAAAGAAATTTAATCAATTTGTACTAGACTAAACTAACAGTACAGTGATATAAAAATGGATGGATTATGAGGATATTTCGGCAAGTGAATGGTATATTATGACAATATATGAGTAGAGTTGTATGAGATGAAAATCTTATAATATTTCACTTCTTTTTTTTGTTTTTTTTTGTTGACCTTCAATAGAGAATTTGTATTGTTGAACCAGAACTAAATCAAGTCCATGATCCTCTAAGTAAATTGACATTTGTTGACGTGCAAATGGGCGTATGATATATGTCTAGTAAATTGTACATTCCTTCGTTACAAATCACTTAAATCGTCTTAACAGAACAGCATCAAATTTATTTATGTACAGTATATAGCGATCAAATACTCATTTGTACCATAAAATTAGCAGTTAACCTCTAATGTAAACATTTATAAAGAAATAAACATTCTCATTTTCACAACATAATTTAATTTTCTTTATCGAAATAATCCAATTTTGTATAACCTTGTTTCAGATTGAGTACAAAGTTCATATTAGAAAAAGCAATGTGTGAAACATGACAATTCATCATGAATAAAAATTTGTAAGGCTTATAAATAACGTGATCAATTTTACAGCAATTTATCTCTCTTGTTTTGTCTAATTACAGAAATATCATCGAAATACATTTTATTTATAGTTCTAACCTCCAATGATTATTTTTAGTATGAACTACAGTGTAGTTGAACTAAGAGTATGTTTTCTATCATACATAATGATATTTACGGGAATTTGAGAATTTATGACAATGATAAATCATGATTTAACGATATAAATAAAATATGTATAACCACAATTATTCTTTTTAGCAAAATAATTTGTCTGGTAAATGATGATGTTTACAAAGATATTCTCTCTGAGACTTATCTTAGATAGAGTAAAATGCGCATATTCTCTTATTTATTCCACACTAAATAAAACATGTATAATCAAAATGAAATGTTCAAGAGATTTTTAGCGGTGTCTATCATATGTCTGGAGTATACTGCGTGAAATAAAACATTTTGAGCAGGATTGAACTTAACTTCTCAGTTTAGGTTTAAATATGACAAGTTATTGTATACCGATGACGTTTTAATTGAATAGTTTGCTAATAGTCTATAAATTTTTCAGAAGAGACTTCATTTATATCAGGGAAGAAAGGGTCCATTTTTAATATGATAATCGGCGTGGCCAGCTAACTCTGCTACCGCAAGAGAATTCCGTAACGTATACCAAATCAAGTCACATAGAGAGTCGCGAGACGTCTTAAATTGAAGAGAAAAGTCTTGTGGACATTTTAAGGCGTATCTGCACTCTAGAAAATGTCTCTTTCTGCGGATCTTAATAAAATATAGAGTACTACTTTTCGATTCTGAAGAATTTGAATTTTTGAAAAGTAGTACTCTATATTTTATTAAGATCTGCAGAAAGAGACCTTTTCTAGAGTGCAGATACGTCTTAAAATGTTCACAAGACTTTTCTCTTCAATTTAAGACGTATCGCGACTCTGTGTGACTAGGTTTAGCATATATCGACACAACAAAATGAAGAAAAAACGTTACGGAATTCCCTTGCGGTAGCAGAATTAGCTGGCGATGCCGTAATGTGAGTTTTCAATTTTCTTATACGCACGAAATTCTAGTAACGAGAGAACTGATTGCCTCAAGCTTTGGGGAACGGTACACTCATCACCGAACGTTCTGTTCAAACAACAGTATACACGCGTCTGATATGATTAAAAATGATGACTTCGAAATCTTTGACTTAACTATAGAATTTTGCTTTAGAAATAATGAAGAATTTACCCTAAATATTATATAACTGAGTTTAATGCTTCTAAATTTTTGCACAAACAATGAAATGAATATTAGAGTATTTGACAAATCAATTCGCATAAATGAAAAATGTCTCACATGTCTTGTGAAATAGTTAAAGATATATATGTAAGTTAACTTTGTTTTAAACTATTGAGTTTGTTTAGTCGTCTGAATTGACGTAGCCGGTGGTGGTGGAGAAGGTGCCCAAATAGGATGAAGTAACGTATGTGTTGGATGGAAAATGGTTGTGCCAAATTGTGAAGGATCATAGAGCGGATTTAATCGGTGACCAGTGAATCCAGTATTAAAATTGTTAGACGATGATACATCTGGTTGCAATTCTCGTTGAATTCGCCATCGTCGTCGAATTGTTGGTAAAAGTAAAAATATTAAGAATCCGGTTAATGTTACCATAAGAATAATTGAAAATGCGGCAACCACTGTATTCGTTATTATTAAACTTTCATACGCGTGCTGATTATTAGATCCCATTAATGGAACTTCTGGTGTGACTGTGCGCGATGGAAAAAATGGAAAGAAATTTGTTGGTGTAGTCACTCTTGTTGTCGGTAATGTTGGTAATGTTAGATTAACAAATAGTATATGTTTCGGAGTTTTTAATTCTGAGTTTAATGTAAATGCGTTGCGTTTAAGTGTAATTAGACCCTGATTCACATTCGGACAACACATCTTATAACACCAAATGATGCGCAGAATAAAATAAAACCTGTTTCACTTTCTTTTGTGTTTATTTACATACTCGTCACACTGTAGAAAGGTAAAGGACAGTACTGACATATTTGTTATTTTGAACACACAAGAATTTTAATAACATTCACTGTTTAACACAATAAACACATCGTTGTGTAGTAACCTTGAAACATTCCTACTTTCTTTTTACATTTCAACAACAAACAAACTGTTTGCAGTGAAAAGTTTGAATGTTTTTTCTAACGTTTAGCTTTTTTAGTTAAGAGGAGGTCCCTATTTAGATTCTCTTTAAACTCTTCTAGTTTCGAGAGAATACTCCACCTTACTAGTATTATTTGGCTAAGAAAAAAGTTAATTACTTAAAAAAAGTGTTGTTAAATTTTTGAGCACGGAATTTTTAGTAAAAAGTTTTCTGTCCATTCTCCGTTCATCACAAAAACTTGGTTCTTGTGTAGTTCGTTAGAGAAAAGTGTGGAGAATATTTACTATGAAAACATATATAAAACTGTTTACTCTTTCCTTCCTGTTATTGACTAGTTAGTGCCAACTAACGTTAATCTAGCCTACGCTACTAATTTAAAGTCCCGTTTGCAAGATTGACTGCAAGATTGACAACTCAGCAAAAATATTCGAACAACGTCTCATCTGATAGAGAACTGCATGGACCACCAGACACTATCTTAAAATGTTTGCAGTTTCTTTTGGGCAGCGCAGTGAGTATGATAAGACAAAAAATTAACAACATCTTTTAACTAATTAATTTTTTTCCTCAGCCAGATAATGCTTTAGTAAGTCGAAAAACGGAGCAAGGAAGATTTTTTTCATCCTATCTCCTCAGGCAGAAAGAAGTAAGCAAGAAAATCTAGCTTATCAAATAGCTCAAGCGACCGCTTAATCGCAGATTTTTTGAATCAAATAGCTAGCTGCAAGTGCCCACTTATTAGCTGCAAGCGGCCGATCCAGTGGGCGCTTAATTGAACGATTAGCGTCGAATTCAAACACATCAGCAAGCTTCAACTCATTGATAGGTTAAAAATTGATCAAGTAGCTTCAAGCGCCCATGATTTTTTTTCTGCTTGGGTCAAACCTTGTTTCGTTCGAAGAAAAACTCTGGATACAAGAGTTGTTCACCAACAAATTCTGAAGTCTTTCATGGGAACTTTTTCCAACAGTTTCCTTTGTTGCTTTAATAATTTCAAAAACGGTAAAATTTATTTTAAAACCTTTAAGATAAAAGTTTTGAAAAAGCTTTCGGGAGAGACTTCGAAATTTGATTTTGAATACCTTTTATACTACAGAGTTTTTCTTCGAAATGTTTCCTTTGAACGAAACAAGTCGTAAGGCTTTTTAAAAATATTTTTAATTCTAAAATTCCTCGGAGAGATGAAAGCTAAATTTCTGTAGCAAACTTTATTCGGGAACAATTGCAGTTTTATTTCTGTATATAATTTAATGTCCTCTGTCGAACCATGCTAGAATCAACTCTCCATATAAGAAAACTGAATCTTTTATTAAAATTATAAAAATGAGGCAAAAGAGCCAAAAAACACTTAAAAATTGGTTTTATTAATTAATTCATTCTTGATTTGAACCCTTTTGTAAAACTCAAACTTAGTGGTTGAAACTTTGAAATTTAAGCAGAAAACATGAACTAATTCTTTCAGAACTAGAAATCAGATACCTTCGACCAAGCACAGTTAACCGAAAACAGAGTTAAGTACAGCTAACTTTCTTTCCAATGTATTCGAATAGCACCGGCTCTCTTTCGGTTAACTGTGCTTGGTCGAAGGTATCTGATTTCTAGTTCTATAAGAATTAGTTCATGTTTTTTGCTCAAATTTAAAAGTTTCATCCATCGAATTTGAATCTTATAAATCTGTAAGCTACTGCACATATTTGATACAACATCATTCTACTAGATCACATACGTGAGAGACGTTTGACAAGCCACTTCTTTGAATACAAAGAATGAGTGAATTGTATTGTTGCACTGTTGTCAATTATGCGATCACTTAAAAGGATATAAGCTGCTATTCACGATTTCTATTGTGCAATAGTACTATATCTGTCAGAGCAGTATGATAGTTTTAGAAATGAATCTGTAAAGTTAAAACGAACACTGATTCTGATTCTCTTGCATCTATCGTGACATGTCTTACTTACGCCATCTATAACAAGCATACGTTATTTAGTTATGGCAAATATTTTATATTTGGTGATAGATACGACGGGCGCCCAATATAAACGATAAATTTGATCACTTGTTCGTCGGTAGAGCCCAGCAGGTCATGCATAACCTGTCCTGTCCTGACAGGTTAGGATAGGTTTAGGTTACGACTTCGCAGTTTAGGATACCCATGTGGCTTAAAAATCGGCGACTTTTACATGACTTGGCGTTCGATTGTTGCGATACTTTGTCGCGATTAGTCGACGATACTTTTGCGAATTTTTAGCAACTTTTGGCGATTAGTTGCGACTAATCGAACGATTCTTTTTTACAGAAAGAAGACACTAGGGTCGAATCCGCCTATGAGAAATTTCTTATTTTGTTTTTTTCCTTGTTCTGTACTTTAATGACTTTCTTATGATAGTACCGACTACTCGGACCCTCTTCATCCGATTAATCGGTTTGAGACACTCTGCCCAGACCTCCATTTGTTCATCGGGCTCCTCGATTCAAAAGCTGACCCTCGTTGAAAGAACGAGTCAGCTTAATCGCGATATACAAAACAGTCGCCGACATGTTGCGATTAAACGGCGACTTTTCAGACAAGCGCGATAATCGCCGGTTTTGTAAACAACATTGAAGACATGGGTAGGTTATAGGTTACGAAAATTCTTACAGGACAGGTTACAGGTTATGAAAAAGTTGTAACCTGCAGGGATCTATTCGTCGGTAATTGATAATAACCATGTTACTTGGTTTTACATCAATCTTATTATATGACAGATTTAACAAATTACTAAAATAAGACATATTTCCTACCGTTGCCAGAAAACCATTTACTTAGACCGCCTGAGCATTTGAGAAAGTGTCCATGACACATGTCGCTGTTGTAAAAGTTAAGACAGTTGCTGAAATAAATGATAAAATCACAAGTTATTTTCACCTTTTTCCAGTTAATATGAAATTTTTCAAGCGACTTGTGACTGTTGTTTTTTCTCTTAAGTTAGTCGTAAAATTGTGACGATCCTTTTCATTACTAAGAATAAGTGTGTCAATCAAGTAACCGTAATGGTTAAGTAATGAGGATAGTACTTGTTAACTTTTCCAAGTAAATTTACTTGTCAAGTACTTGAGAAAGTACTTGGAGCTATGGAGCTATACTCTACTTTTGTAGAGCAAATACATGCACGGCTACTAAGTTTGTTCAACTCAGTAGAAATATATAAGTTTATTTTATAAGTGTATAACGGTTGATATTGTGATGTTTATACACAAGTGGTCAATGCAAAAAAAAAGGAGTGACTGACTTGTTCAAGTACGTTGGTGAAATAAGTCAAGTAACGACACTTAGCAAATTCTTGCTCAAATCCTTGTCAAGTGTTTAACTTGTCACGTGCTACCCAAGTACCCATCAAGTAATCAAGTACTTGTACCCCGTACATTCACTAGAAAAGAAGGTACTATATCATGACAAATGACTAAAAGTGCTGATGACATATTCACATCTAAATAGACTTTTTTATTAATTATGTACATGAGACCTGCGATTTATTCTATTCTATAAAAAGTAAAAATATTTATTTGTACAATTAATAGTCGAGTTCCTTGTTGTTACAACAAGGAACTATTAGTAATAGTGCTCGTGAGTGTACTGGCGAGAGTTGTTGCTAAAAGGCATATAAATTATAGATAGTGAATGAACGAATAAACAAGTTAAACTAATAAATGAATTACGGTAGAATAGTGTGCATTAGTCTACTTGTTCAAGGTAACGGATGCGCTACAATAAACATTAATCTTAGTATTTTCTCAATATCTTCTTTAGTTTTTATCGGATAGACTTAAACTTTTGTTTTAAAAAGATTACACAATTCAATTCTCTAGAATGATAACTTAAAAATTTTATTCTAAAATATAAAAATAAAAAATCATACGAATAAAGAAAGTCCAAAGATGATAATTTTCAAAACTGATCTTCTCTAAAGGTTTGAATTTTTGTCAACTTTTTGACAAACAGCGGAATTGGTTAGAGTAAGTTTTTTCGTAGTTCTAAATGTGCTCTTTCTCATCTTATATAGTGAAATTGATTTAAATCAAGTTATGTGGATCAAAAATGCGCTTTGTTAAAATTCGGCTGAAGAAAAGCTAAAATTCTTGGTCTTTTTTTCGCTCACTATATTAGATAAAAGACATTTGTTAAAATTTGGTGAGTGAATGCAACAGTCTGATTATTTCTTGTTAAAGAGAAAAAAATCCGATGCCAAAAATATTAATTTTTTTCTCGTTCTAGACGAGTTTTACAGAATGGCCTGCAGAACAAAAATTATTAGTTTGTCGAAAATTGAAAAAAGAAAAAACTCGATCGCTGAACACGGATAGATATGAGAAAAGTTTAATTGTAGTCGAAAGATAGAGCTTATTAACGGCTGCAAAATGACTAACAAACTTTCTTCACATCGAACAGTACTAGTGGAAAAATCAAAGAAAAAAACGACTTGAAAATCATCGGCTTTGGAATTTCTTAGTATTTATTATTCGTATTGTTTTTTATTTTGATATTTTAGAATAAAATTTTTAAGATATCATTCTAGAGAATTGAATTGTGCATCTTTTAAAATATGTCTAAGTCTGTTCGATAAAAAACTAAAGAAGATACTGAGAAAATACTAAGAGTAACATTTATTCTGGCGTATCCATTGTAACCTATATATTGCTGTAACAGCTGAAACAAAATAGTACATTTTTTTTCTCCAATATTCAGTCATTATTCAATATTGATTCTCGTTTCTTAATTAAATGTAAAAATGACTTG